GATCCTATTGACTAGTATTTTGGTGAGAATTTTTGCATCTGTGTTCATCAGGGATATTGGTCTGTAATTCTCTTTTTTGATGGGGTCTTTGCCTGGTTTTGGGATCAAGATAATGCTGGCCTCATAAAATGAGTTTGGAAGTTTTCCTTCCATTTCTATTTTTTGGGGACAGTTTCAGGGGAATAGGTTTTAATTTTTCTTTAAACATTTGGTAGAATTCCTCTGGGAAGCCATCTGGCCCTGGGCTCTTGTTTGTTGGGAGATTTTTGATGACTGCTTCAATCTCCTTACCAGTTATGGGTATGTCCAGGTTTTCTATTTCTTCCTCATTCAGTTTTGGTAGTTTACATGTCATAGGAATGCATCCATTTCTTCCAGATTGTCTAATTTGCTGGTGTATAGTTGCTCATAATATGTTCTTATAATTGTTTGTATTTCTTTGGTGTTGGTTGTGATCTCTCCTCTTTCATCATGACTTTGTTAATTTGGGTCCTTTCTCTTTTCTTTTGGATAAATCTGGCTTAGGGTTTATCAATCTTATTCATTCTTTCAAAGAACCAGCTCCTAGTTTCATTGATCTGTTCTACTGTTCTTTTGGTTTCTATTTCATTGATTTCTACTCTGATCTTTATTATTTCTCATCTCCTGCTGAGTTTAGGCTTCCTTTGCTATTCTTTCTCCAGCTCCTGTAAGTGTAGGGTTAGGTTGTGTGTTTGAGACCTTTCTTGTTTCTTGAGAAAGGCTTGTATTGCTACATACTTTCCTCTTAGAATTCATAAACACCAAACCAACCCTACAGGAAATATTGAAATATTGAAAGGGGTCCTTTGTTGCATCCCATTGATTTTGAACAGTTGTGTTTTTTTTTTAATTAACATATAATATATTATTTGTCCCAGGGTTACAGGTCTGTGAATCATCAGGCTTACACATTTCACAGCACTCACCATAGCACATACCCTCCCCAATGTCCATTACCCAGCCACTCTATCCACCCCCCACCCCAGCATGAACAGTTGTGTTTTCATTTTCATTTGTTTCCATGAATTTTTTCAATTCCTCTTTAATTTCCTGGTTGACCCATTCATTCTTTAGTAGGATGTTCTTTAGCCTCCATGTATTTGAGTTTGGTCCAACTTTCCTCTTGTCATTGAGTTGAAGTTTCAAAGCACTGTGGTCTGAAAATATACAGGGAATGATCCCAACCTTTTGGTACCAGTTGAGAATTGATTTGTTACCCAGGATATGATCTATTCTGGAGAATGTTCCATGCACACTAGAGAAGAACCTGCATTTTGTTGGTTTGGGTTGCAAGGCTTTGAATATACCTGTGATGTCCATCTAGTCTAGTGTGTCATTTAAAGCCTTTATTTCCTTGTTGATCTTAGAAGATCTGTCCATTTTAGTGAGTGGGGTGTTAAAGTCTGCTAATATTATTGTATTATTATCCATGTGTTTCTTTGATTTTGTTTTTAATTGGCTTATACAATTGGCTGCTCCCATGTTAGGAGCATAGATATTTAAAATTGTTAGATCTTCTTGTTGGACAGAACCTTTAAGTATGATATAGTGTCCTTCCTCATCTCTTATTATAGTCTTTGGTTTAAAATGTAATTTGTCTGATACAAGGATTATTACCTCAGCTTTCTTTAGATGTCCATTAGAATGCTAAATGGTTTTTCACCCCTTACTTTAAACTTGGAGATGTCTTTGGCTCTAAGATGAGTCTCTTGCACACAACATATTAATGGGTTTTGTTTTTTCTTATCCATTCTGATACCTTGTGTCTTTTGATTGGGACATTTACCCCATTTACATTCAGGGTAATTTTTCAAAGATATGAATTTAGTGCCATTGTATTACCTGTAAGGTGACTGTTAACTGTATATTGTCTCTCTTCCTGTCTGGTCTATGTCGCTTTTAGGCTCTCTCTTTGCTTACAAGACCCCTTTCAATATTTCCTTTAGGGCTGTTTTGGTATTTGCAAATTCTTTTAGTTTTTGTCTTGGAAGCTTTTTGTCTCTTCTTCTATTTTCAATGACAACCTAGCTGGATATAGTATTCTTGGCTGCATATTTTTCTCGTTTAGTGCTCTGACTATATTATTCCAGTACTTTCTGGCCTGCCAGATCTCTGTGGATAGGTCTGCTGCCAGTCTAATATTTCTACCATTGTATGTCACAGACTTCTTGTCCCAAGCTTCTTTCTTAATTTTCTCTTTGTCACTGAGACTTGTAAGTTTTACTATTAGATGATGGGGTGTTGACCTTATTTTTATTGGTTTTGGGAGTTCTCTGTGCCTCCTGGATTTTGATGCTTATTACCTTTGCCAAATTAGGGAAATCCTCTACTATAATTTGCTCCAATATACCTTCTGCCCCTCTCTCTCTTTCTTCTTCTGGGATTCCAATTATTCTAATAGTGTTTCATGTTATGGTATCACTTATTTCTTGAATTCTCCCCTCCTGGTCCAGTAGTTATTTGTCTCTCTTTTGCTCAGCTTCTTTATTCTCCATCATTTGGTCTTATATATCACTAATTCTCTCTTCTGACTCATGCATCCCAGCAATAAGAGCTTCTATTTTTTACTGCATCTCATTTATAGCCTTTTTAAAATTTCAACTTGGTTAGATTTTAGTTCTTTTATTTCTCCACAAAGGGATTCTCTAATAGCCTCTATTTTTTTCAAGCCCAGCTAATATCTTTATAATCATCATTCTGAACTCTAGTTTCAACATTTTACTAATGTCTGTATTGATTAGGTCCCTGGCAATTGGTACTGCCTCTTGCTCTTTTTTATTACTTGAGGTGAGTTTTTCCAGTTTGTGATTTTGTCCAGAGAAGACTAGATGAATGAGGGAACACAATGCTAAAAGGATAAAAATGACCCCAGAAATATATACGCTAAACAAATTAGAAGAGACCTGCAACTGGGGGTAGGGGGGATGGAGGGAATGGGAGAAAGGGGAAAAAAAAAGAAGAAGAAGAAAAGAATATGATCAGGCTAGTGAATAAAATAGAGCCATACACTAGATTTGGGTTATATTTTGGTCTGTTAGAAGAAACTGCCTCCCAAAAATTAAAGAAAGAAAAATTTATATATATACAAAAATAAGGGTAAATACAATGAAGGGATGGAATATGACTGCAAAGATGAAAATTTTTAAAAAAAGTTTTTAAAAGGAATTGATAAGATAAGACGTTTGTTGAAAAAAGAAAGAAAAAAATTAAGAGAAAAGGGGGCAGGGAGAATGTGATCAGGTAGGAGACTAGAATAAAGTCATATAGTAGATTTAGGGATATATTTTGGTCTGTTAGAAGAAACTGTATCCCAACCTTTTAAAGAAAGAAAAACTTTTATATATGCAAAAAAATAAGGTTAAGTACAATGAAGGGATAGAATATGAATGTAAAAATGAAAATTAAAAAAAGAAATTTTAAAGAAGTATTGATAACATAAGATGTTTAAAATAGAAAAAAGGAAAAATTAAAAAAAAAAAAAAAGAAAAAAGAGAAAGAAAAAATGAAAGAAACTTTAAAAAATTTAACTTTGGAAAACTAAGGACTCTTGAGGAAAAAGCCATGAGTTCTGTGTTGCTTTCCCTAGCTCTGGAGTTCTGCAGTTCTCATTGATTGGTGAACTTGGTCTTGGCTGGATGCTCTAACTGATCTTCTAGGAGAGGCACCTGTTGCAGTGATTCTCAGATGTCTTTGCCAGAGGCAGAATTGCACCACCCTAGCTGGGGGCCAGGCTAAGTAATCTGCTTGGGTTTGCTCTTGGGAGCTTTTGTTCCCTGAACACTTTCCATACATCTTTGGAGGAGGAGAATGAAAATGGCAGTCTCCCAATCTCTGGCTTAGATGAGCCAAGAGCACAGGGCCCTGCCCCTCAGTGCACTCTCAGAGAAAAGCAGTCAATTCCTCCCATCTCTCTGGTCTCTGGCCGCACTCTGTACTACCTAGCCTGTGACCGATTATTTCTATTTCTGGTGCATGGCTCCTTTTGGAGTCTCCAAACCCAGCCAATTGCTGCAGTGCACTCCCATGCCACTCCTCCTGGAGGAGGAAGGAGGAGTCTCCCTGGATCTGCCACTTGTGGGGTCTCTGCTCAAAGAGCAGTGGTCGGACTGTGCCATGGATCACAGTTTAAGATAACCCCGAACTGAGAGCCCCCTCCTTAGCTCTGCCTCTGCAGCCAGCTTTCCTGCTCTGATACCTGAGAACCCTGCCACACTCAGGCACCCCCAGTCTTTGTGTGACCCCATGGGTCCTGAGACCACACTGTCCCAGTGAGGATTGCTTAGCCACTGGAGAGACATCCCTCAGCAGAGGAGACTTTTGAAACTTCTAATTTTGTGCTCCACTGCTCTACTGCTTGCTGGGAGCTGGGCCCTCCCCTGTGGTCAGTCTTCCTGTATATTGTCTCGGATTCACTTCTCTACATGCCCTACCTTCCAGAAAGTGGTTGCTTTTCTGTTCCTAAAATTGCTGGTCATCTTCTCTTCGATTTCCTGTTGAGTCTTTAGGTGTTCAGAATGGTTGATAACTAGCTGAAGTCCTGGGACCTGATGATATTTAGGTCTCCTACTCCTCCACCATCTTGTTCCTCTAACATCAGTTTTTTTTTTTTTTTAAGTTTTGAAAATTAACTTTAGACATAGACTTCTCTGTATTTTTCAGCAGTTTGTGCTCCTCATTTTTGTAGCAAATTCACCAAAGAAAGAAGATTCTGGTTAAATAATATATTACCTTACTGATCAAATTAGCGCAAATCAGATCACTGACTGAATACCCAATATTCAAAGCAATCTCCAGATAAATAAGAGAATTACAATTTTGTATTTAATGATATTGCAGTATCTTTCTTGACATGTTAAGGCCAATCAGTTGAGAGCCTTCATGATTATTCCAAGAGTTATGAATGCAAGTGTGACCACAAACACCCCTTCCACTGGTAGGAGAGAGATGTGGTACTAACAAGTGCTTTTGTGTTTTCACAGGTTATGGTTTCGTAGATTTTGACAGTCCTGCAGCTGCACAGAAAGCAGTAGCATCTCTCAAGGCAAATGGCGTGCAGGCACAGATGGCCAAGGTAAGACTGGGGTTCAGATGTTTTTTCTTTTGTGATCTTCTATTTCTCCATTATTGTGAGCAGAATCAGAATTGGAGATCGCAATGATTTGGATTATATTTACTTGGTAGGGAAAACAAGAAACCTTCTAATAGCTTTGGCTTGGAAGAACCTGGCTGGTTTATTTCATTGTTTTCTGTGTATATTTCTGTGTATATTTATTAATAAGCTCTTTTGTTTTGTCGAACTCATTAGCGCTTTAGGGCACTTGTGAAGCGCTCTGTTATGCCTGAAAAGAGTGTGTGTGTATGTGTGTCTAGGGCTTTCACAAGTAAACTGTTTGGGAGTAGTCTGATTCTCAGCAAGTTGTCATTGGTAAACTGTGCTCCAAAACTGTTCACTCTCATATTGGGGAGAGATGAAGGCTGAATAATGAGGTTGTATGATTTATGCAGGAAAATGAGTTTAACCAAAACATACATTGTCTGTATTGCTAGAATTTCACTTTGGCCTTTACAGATAGTTTTACTAGGTGATAATCTCCTTGATATTAATAACTTCCAATACTCATTTGTTGTTATGTAGTACAAGTAGTTCAGAGCTTTCTATCTGAAGTCATAATGCATTTTTATATTCAAGAAAATAAATCAGAGCATTTTAAATAGTTTCGAATTTTGACTGCAGTGGTAGTTACAAGAATCTACACATGTGATAAAATGGTGTGGAACTATACATGCATATCAGTATCAACTTCCTGGTTTTGATATTTTACTATAATTATGTAAGATCCAAACTTTGAGGAAACTGGGTGAAGGGTACATGTGATCTCTTTATGCTAGCTTTGCAACTTGATATAAATGTATGATTAGTTTCAAATAAAAAGTCTAAGAAAAACGTTTATGGCATATAGGTGCTTGATACATTTCTGCTTTAAGTTAATGGTCATTTTGGATTTGATCACATGCAAATATATTTTTAAATAATTTTCTGATTACTCTTACTAAATTTGTTTGTCTCTGGATTCTCAAAAGTTAGGTAGAAGAGCCAACAGATCTTGAAATTCAGACTTAATGCATTTGGGCCATCTTCATGTATACTCTTACCCTTAACTATTCCCCTAAGAACTGAGTGATATAGCAACCAAGTCATCAAACCTTCAGTCATTTGAATTTTGTTATGGTTGCAAACATTCCCTGACAATATTTTCCAATTTCAACCTGAGATAGCCAGAGGTGGGATGTTTGGTTTTCTTTATCTTCTGTATCTTTTAGCAAGCTGATACCACTCATATCTGTTAATCTTTGGTTGTGGGTCACTTCCCACAAAGATTACTTTGGTGACCTCATTGCCCTTATGATGCGTTGGTTGTTTTCAAGGCTATATATATATTAGAATTTGAATTCTTTCAGCTATGTAATGCATTCCTCATCAAGACTGTGCCTGGAAGCTTTGAATTTGGTAATGAACTAAGAGTGATGAAGTTAATATTTGTAATTAATAAGGAGATTACCTACATGTCTTGGTTTAAAGGTCACTTGGCAAAAGAGTCAACTTAAGCAGGCATTATGTCTAGGAAACAAATGGTAAAATATAGTTGCTCAGTATATGCAAAATACAAAATTTGAAATTGGATTGAAAGACAACTGACAGGAAAATCATAATAAAAATGCTTATAAAATTATTATTAGAATATCTTTGATTTATTTTATTGATGGACTAACGAGTTTTGGAAATTGCTAGGTTGTGGTAGTTTGGAAATCATGAATACAGGGTATGCAATCTCGACCGTTTCAAATGTTCTGAGAAAAAAATAATATATGTGTAGTTTTACTCGTTGGGTTAAAATCACTATCATCTTGCACAACAGGCAAAGAAAGTTGGCATTGATTTGAAAACTACTGAGGAGCGATTATGACTGTTTTTTCTCTGTGTCTGAGCATTCTGGTACACAAGGAATCACTGTCCATCTCACTCTCTCATACATGCACATACACACACACACACTCACACACGTAACATGTATACCAATCACTGACCTCTCACATAAATAGGAGGCTATCAAAGGGAATATATTTAAAGAGCTTCTAAAAACTGTTTTTCATTATAGGCAGCATTTTTATCCTTAGCCCACGCCCAACATACACTGCACAATGTACAATGTGAGGAGATTCCAACCAAAATGTTTGCAGGCACTTACTTTATTTCTGGAGTTGCTGAAAGATTTCTACCTTATCAGTTATGCTGTCTGTGGAGTAAATTCTTCTTCTTTTTCTTCTCACAGACTTTGAATCGAAAGCCCAGAGCTTTAGACACACATCTGCGTACTAGAAAACTTTCAGCAGTAAATAGCTCTGTAATTTAACTACCCAGAAGCAAATAAATAGCGTCCCTTCGACAATGAAATGGGACAAGCTTGACCACCTGTATTAGCAGATTTCTCACTGAGCTATTGGATTTCATGGCCTTTTTCCCCTCCTTTGTCCTGGTAATAACTATAATTTATTATCATATAAACCTGCAGTCTGCAGGGTGTGTGAAACTTGCACTATATTTTTTGTCATTTAAGTATCTACTGAATCACCTCCTGCATCCTTGTTCTTATCAATATCCTATGATGTAGGTTGTGGTGCTACATTTTAAAGACTCCAGGATTTTAAAGCAAAAATGCGACAAATAATCTGGGTTCCCAATAACAACCTGGAATGAACATGAAGCTCTCCAAGGGAATCACTCTAGCGAACTTATTCCAATGTGTGCATATGAAAAATTCAACTGATTTGTCAACTAAGAAGAATCAAACAATAAATCATCCAGTAAGTGGTAATTGATTAATAATGTATAACCGTTAATACAGACTAACATTTTCTGTATACTTGCTGTTCTGTCAAAAAGATTTTTTAGGGATCAAAGGAAATGTTTCTTTGAGGAGAGCAGATTTAGAATATTTTAGTAATGCATAGTAGTTAAGAGTATAGGTTTGGAGAGAGAGAAACTTGGCCTTGAATTTTGGCTCTGATACCACCTGGATGTGTGGCCTTGGCTAAGTTATTTAAATATCTCTTAAACTCTCTAATAATAATACTCAGGTTATGGGACTAACGATGTCTGTCAGAATTAAATTTAAAAAAATACATAAAGAATTTAGGATGGTGCTTAGTTATACCAAGAAGTCAATAAATGTTAATTATTCAATGAATGTTGTTACTCATTAAATTCAAAGTTGTTACTGAAACTTCTATAAATTCTAACACTTGCGTTAAGTGGTGTGTCATTACAAAACAGTCTCTTGAGAAATATAATAAATAATATCAATAAACGTTTTTATTACATGCTAAGTGTCAGGCACTGTGCTAGGTGTTGGAGAATCAAGTTGAATAAAACCTCTCTTATTCTGAATCTTTATGTTTGGTCTATCTGCTGGGATTGCGACTGGATTGCTCTGGATTAAGAATATTGGCTGTTACGGTTCTTGCCAACCTCAGAGTATTGAGAAGAAAATCATTTGGCTGAGGAATGAGTCTCTGTAAGCATAAAAAGAAAAGAGCTGAAGAGAAACCAGCTAAGAATTGCTTTACCTTGTAGGGGTTTATTTTCTTATCAATAAGAAGGTCGTAGATAGGCAGCGAAGGGCAAATGCTTTGGTACACCCTCAAGGATCAAGGTTTCTCTGCCATTCGTTATGGGTGGCTTTCATCTGTACATTTATGTTTTTTCTAAGGCCTATATAGGATATCCCCATCTTAGCCAGGAAAAACAAAAGGACAAAGGAATCTGAATCTGAAGCTGAAGCTGGTGGATCGTTCTGGCTGATTCTGTCCTTTTAAAAGGCATTCCAGAGAGGTGCCCGGATGGCTCAGCTGGTTAGGCACCTGCCTTCTGCTCAGGTCATGATCTCAGGGTCCTGGGATTGAGCCCCGCATAGGGCTCACTGCACAGTGGGGAGTCTGCTTCTCCCTCTCTCTCTACTGTTCCGCCTGCTTGTGCTCTCTTGTTCTTTCTGTTAAATAAGTAAATAAACTCTTGAAAAAAAAATAATAATAAAATAAAAACTTTCCCAGAATATTAACGTAGACCCAACTATTTATACCATAATGGCCCAAACTGAGTCATATGGTTGCCCCCTTAGCTGCAAAAGAGTCTGGGATTATGCATAATTTAGCTTCCTCACCTCTAGTAGAGAAAATTAAGAATAGTTCATCGTTTTGGCTGTCCAACATCCATTACACCATTCTTCCCATTTATACATTTTGGGTGGCATACGTTTATTCCTTCCCTAAAAGAGCCTACCTCAGAGCCTTATCCTATAATCACATCTGGTGATGTCATCATCCCTAACAGGCTCAGACATGGTTGCTCCTCTTGGCTTAATGCTCATTAGCTTAAAAGATGAGTTATCTGCCCCAACTCCCACAGTAAAGAACAGCAGAGAAAAAGATAAGATACATGAAACTAAAGGAAAACCACCATTCAGGGACAGAGAGAATGGGAAATAAGCAGAAGTAACCAGTTGCTAGCACACACCAAATCCTGGGGGCAGGAATAGAATTCTAGCTTTGTCCGTGCAGTTCGCTCACTGGTTGCCAGTCATATAATCCCTGCCTGCCGTATAGAGAGGGCTTTCTTGCCCATTTTTTCCCCATGGCCACACTGAGGCCTCACGGAAAGGCTATATAGCTTTAGAAACTGAGTTTTCCTGAATGGAAATTTGGAGGCTCTGGAATGGCTCTACATATTTTGTGTTAGCAATTATTACCAGCCAAGCCCTGAGCTATTTCAAGTTTAGCAGGCCTCTTTCTTACTTTCTGTCTGTCAATTCCAAACACAAGTAAACAGAGTACATCTCTTTCTAGATGAAAAGTCCACAGGGAAGGAGCCACTGCCTCCTCAGGGCCTTTACAAAAAGCTTTTTCAGGTCTACTATTAGGGATGCTATTCCAATCACCAAAGGTGATTCACCTCACTGTGGGATATGTAGAATAAATTGAAGTTAAGCAATTGCAAAAGAGACCAAGTGTCTAACA